TTATACACATGTAAATTAGGATAGATTGTGATGCAAACTTGCAATTGCATTTGAAATTTCATGGCATTTCTTGATTGACATGGAATATCCGTCTTATATTATTGTTATCACTATATTTTGATTAAATCACATTTTCTAATGAACAATTTTCTCTTTCTCATTTTATCAGTTGTGAGGAACAAGTTGCACAAATTGTATGGTGGACATTTAAGCATTACATACACATGTATATGGATAAGCATGGACTTTAAGATCCGATAAAAGGCATTTCATGTAAAACCAGTGACTACAAATAAGGAATTAACAAAAATGGTGTTTACAAGTTTGAGCTGAAAATAAAAGTGGCGTGACCTTGACATACACGAAATGGTAGATACAAACTATGTTTTTCCGTCATTTACCTTAGTATACAGATCTGTCGCATAGGGGTATAAGATAATAAATCAAAGTTTTAAGTTGAAATATATTATAAGAAAAAACCTTTGAGTACAAATGAGCCTAATTGACATTAAAGTACCCGAAAGTCAGCTAAATTATCTGGCTTTGCCCCAGAGTTTTAATCTAAGAATTACTAAGATAATCAAATGCATAAATATTTATTAATAATTCTAGATTTTAAGTTTTCAATAATCATTTCTGCAGATCAGGTCAAGACCATTCAGCATTGAGGTACTCACTGCAAAAAATATAGGCAGATAATTGATTTCTAACATAGATAATTTCGAATAAAGTGCTCACTTACAAGTTCATTGTTACATACATGAAATTCACACGTATTTTTGTTCAAAGCTACAAAGAACTAATGTTCTTAACCATTTCTTTCCGTGGAACTATCATCATTTACTATGTTAGTTAAACATGCAAATTAAAATAACTGTGTATGGCACACCAAATTCACAAAAATGAGTAAAATATAGTTTCACAGTCGCTAAACTAGGTTTATCGGTTGTAAACTATAGTTTACGGACTGTAAACTATAGTTAACGTTAATCTATATTTTACATTTGTAAACCATATAGTTAACGCGATAATCTATGTTTCACAACCGTAAACTATACTTAACAACGAAAACAATCATTTGTGATTGCAAAACATAGATTATCTGATAAAAACAGTTTCACGATTTGTAAACTATAGTTTACAAACCGTTAACTATAGTTAACGATCTGATAAATATAGTTTCACGATTTGTGAAACTATGATTAACAACTCTTAACTATAGTTTACGATTGTAAACTATAGTTCACAAACGTGAATCTATGTTTATCAATAAAATCTATTGTAAACGCTTTATTCAGACAGATAAACTTAGATTATCATTCGTAAACTATAGTTAACGACCGTTAAATATAGTTTTACAGATGAAAACTATACTTAACGAATGGTTAGCTATATTTTACGGTTTGTAAACTATAGTTTACAGTCGATAAACCTAGTTCATCAATTGTGAAATTAGGTTTATCTCATTTTTGTGAATTTGGTGTGCCATAACTGTGTCCCCCGCTTTAGATTAGATGTTATTTATCTATGTGCATATTGAGTCAAATATGAACGCCCTATGATATGCCATTCAAAAGTTAGGTGGCAGAGGATAGTTTCGAATAAAGTACCGGTCAAAAAATAGGGGAAAAAAATAGAGAAACCTGAGGTTTGAATGCATATTATAGGTAATTTCAGCTAGAATATTTTATGGGTGCATTTGGAGGGAATTGGTGGCCTTTTATATTTTATTGAAATATGACACTTTAGTGTCACTACCACTGTATATGGGATATGGACTAGAAATACGAAACTAAGCTCAAAACTCGCTCTACCGGTATTTCACCAGAAAAGCGGGGTGGGTTCACAGGATGAATTGTAGGTTGAGTCATTATCTCTTGCTGTTCATTGGTATGAACAAATGTTATTCTGCAATTTGTTTGGTAGCTTAGGTCAGGCGCACGGGCCTGGAAGCAGATGCGGCTGCGGCGAAATAGTGAAAATAGGCTTGATTCATATGAAATTTTGAGATTGTCGCTGCGCCATCTTTAGGGCTCCTTGTACCAGGCTGAAGCTAGCAGCCAATAACAGCAGCCATTAAGCGCGTAGAAGCTAGCAGCCAATAAGGAAATTCATCAAAGAACTGAGAGTACTCAGACGCAGTACTGTTTTCAATAGGTTATTTTAGATAATTATGGTTAATGATTATAAAATTAATGCAACAATTAATTACATAATAAATCAGATACTCAGAGGCAGTAAGGCTCACCTGAACAATTTTTTTTTCTTTTTTAAAACTGAAAAATAAGTAATACATTACTTTATAATTTTTATCCAATTGAACAAACAAGCACTAGGAAATGGTTAACTCCCTCAGGAAGAATCCCTTTTCAACTCCTTCAGGGACCTCAAGATTATGACAGGGCCAATAAGCTAACCTGAAATTTGATTAATATATAACGATTGTAAACAGAAATATAGCACAAGTGTAAACTAGGTTGAAGTATGTTTCGAACATTATTACTGGGACAACTTAATGAATCTATCAGACTGTAAATTACCACTATCAGTAATAAGTGGTGGTGGTGCCACTAAGTGGTTCCAAATTTTGATATTACAGGCAGGTATTATACCCATGATTTATAAAGTGATCAACATTACTAGGGCAAGATAGAAGGGCCCAAGGATTATTATTTCCTGCTATCAGAGGGGGCTTTAGTGGTACCACCAGGTGGTGCCAAGTGCATGGGTCATATTTCAAGCAATCATTCGTCATCAATTATTGGTCATTAAGTTAAGGGTCTTAGAGGGAATCCCTTGTCAACGTTTCAAAAGGTCCCAGGGACTGGAATGGGCTAGTTATCTGCTATGAACTTTGCCTGTTTTACATTTTATCCCCAAAACGCCATTAAAGATCAGCTATTACACGCCTAATCTTTGAAGTGTTCACGAAATGATTAATGGGGCAAGGTAGAGGGGCCCTAGGGCTATCATTTGCCACTTTCAGAATGGGACTGTAGTGGCACCACCCAGTGGTGCAAAGTGCGTGGGGCATATTTCCAGCATTCATATTTTATTCATTGTCTACCTCCTTAACAGCTATTATACACCTTATCCTTGAAGTGTTCATCAAATAATTCTTGGGGCAAGGTAGAGGGGCCCTAGGGCTATCATTTGCCACTTTCAGAATGGGGCTGTAGTGGCACCACCCTGTGGTGCCAAGTGCGTGGGGCATATTTCCAGCATTCATATTTTATTCATTGTCGGCCTCCTGAACAAACTAACACTGGGGGTGGGTAGGGGGCCTTCGGGGGTACCCCTTGACAGATTTCTGCAGGGTCCTAGGGGCTGGAAGGGTCCAGTTAGCTAAGCTGAACTTTGATGTTTTTCATCATTGTAGATTGGGAAACGGGAAAAGGGCAGCTATTATACGCCTTATCCTTGAAGTGTTCATCAAATGATTATTGGGGCAAGGTAGAGGGGCCCTAGGGCTATCATTTGCCACTTTCAGAATGGGGCTGTAGTAGCACCACCCAGTGGTGCCAAGTGCGTGGGGCATATTTCCAGCATTCATATTTTTATTCATTGTCGGCCTCCTGAACAAACTAACACTGGGGATGGGTAGGAGGCCTTAGGGGGTACCCCTTGACAGATTTCTGCAGGGTCCTAGGGGCTGGAAGGGTCCAGTTAGCTAACCTGGACTTTGATGTTTTTCATCATTGTAGATTGGGAAACGGGAAAAGGGCAGCTATTATACGCCTTATCCTTGAAGTGTTCATCAAATGATTATTGGGGCAAGGTAGAGGGGCCCTAGGGCTATCATTTGCCACTTTCAGAATGGGGCTGTAGTGGCACCACCCTGTGGTGCCAAGTGCGTGGGGCATATTTCCAGCATTCATATTTTATTCATTGTCGGCCTCCTGAACAAACTAACACTGGGGGTGGGTAGGGGGCCTTAGGGGGTACCCCTTGACAGATTTCTGCAGGGTCCTAGGGGCTGGAAGGGTCCAGTTAGCTAACCTGAACTTTGATGTTTTTCATCATTGTAGATTGGGAAACGGGAAAAGGGCAGCTATTATACGCCTTATCCTTGAAGTGTTCATCAAATGATTATTGGGGCAAGGTAGAGGGGCCCTAGGGCTATCATTTGCCACTTTCAGAATGGGGCTGTAGTGGCACCACCCTGTGGTGCCAAGTGCGTGGGGCATATTTCCAGCATTCATATTTTATTCATTGTCGGCCTCCTGAACAAACTAACACTGGGGGTGGGTAGGGGGCCTTAGGGGGTACCCCTTGACAGATTTCTGCAGGGTCCTAGGGGCTGGAAGGGTCCAGTTAGCTAAGCTGAACTTTGATGTTTTTCATCATTGTAGATTGGGAAACGGGAAAAGGGCAGCTATTATAGGCTTATGCATATCTAATATCACCTATAACTTCAAAATAATCTGTCAAACTGAACGCGACATTTGTCGCAAATTTGTAAACAAAGTATAGACATTGCAGTTCTATTGTATCCTAGGCTTTCAATTATTAGCTCGATTTGTTCTAAGATTAAACAAATTGAAATAACTTGTTTTTGCAGAAAATCTGCAGTTTTATTATACACCAATCGTATTTCTCAAAACTATTTAGTACGGATTACTGTCTTGTTCAACCAGGAAGTTGGAACTCCACGTAGTGTTTAGAACGAATCCTAAAGAGTCGTGAGTTCGATACCGGCTGGGTGCATTTTAATTTTTTTTTTTTCGATTTTTTTTTCTTATTTCTTCAACCCAAAGACATTTTATTTTTTATACCGGTAATATTATTTACAAGTTCACATCATAAGTTTCACGTTTGAAAAATCTTATTACCTCTAAAAAGTGCAAAGTTTCGATGTTAAAAATATGAGTCCATCATAAAATCTTTATTATATATTGCCAGTTTGCACCTCATTATGCCCCCGTAAACTAAGTTTTTGGGGTATATAGTTTTTGCCGTGTCCGTCCGTTTGCATCTCTGTCTGTTTGGCCGTGAAAACTTTAATCTTGTCCTTAACTTTTGGTTTAATGAGGCTATGACTTTCATATTTCACGTGTGTACTCCGTGTAACAAGACTTTTCTTTTTGAACCACCAAATTTGACCTTTTCACCTTGACCTTGGAGTTTGACCTACTTTTAAATTTTTTAGCCTTGTCCATAACTTTTGAACGGTAAAGGTCATAACTTCCATCCTTTACATACTCAGTATGTATTCTATGTGACAAGACCTTACATTGGATACTAGTTACCTTGACCTTTGGACCTTGACCATGGAGATTTTTATACTTATGAACAAGATGCATTTTTGAAACAGTATGCGCCCGGCGGTTAAGTTAAAAAAAACAATTTATAATATATAGATCACAGTCAAGGTCACAAAGAACTTGAATAGTGAAGCATGCATACTAAATATGCAGTTTTTATCTCTCATGGTTCCAAACGAGTTATTTTTAGCATATAGGACACAATCAAGGCCACAAGGTCATTGGCCTTGGTGGCACGTGAATGTGCTTCATTAGTGAAGTATATATTTCAAATATTGTCTAAATCTTTCTTCGTTCAAAAGTTATGGCCAAGGTTAAAATTGCAGACAAAAAACTGTATTTAGCGTATACACTGTAGGTCACAGTCAACGTCACAAGGTCATTGGTCATGGTGGCATTTAAAGAGCTTAAC